ACCGCAGGAGCTGCGCGAGCGGGTGCTGCGTGGGAAGTACCGCGTCCCCTTCTACATGTCCACGGACTGCGAGAACATCCTGCGGCGCTTCCTGGTGCTGAACCCCACCAAGCGCTGCACGCTGGAGGTGAGGGCCGGAGGGCGAGGCGGCGCTGCAGGGCCAGGCCGGTCCCGGGAGGGGCGGCCGCCGGGGGCCCGGCCGGGGAGGGTGGCCCCGGCCCTCAGGTGGTGGGGCAGCTCCTCCGTGTGCGCTGCGCCGGCCGGGCAGGCGCCCCACTTCCCCCGGGCTGCGGGAGGGGCTGCTCGCCGAGGAGCCCAGCTGGCTCCCGGCTACCGAAGGGGGAGGCCCGCCTCCCCACCCGGAGGCGCGGGGCTCTGATTAGCTAATGTCTCCGTGGGATCCGACTCTGCCCACTGGCTCCCCCCCTCCCCGGAAGACTGTAATTAGCCTAATCGACTCAAGGATAATTACACGGCACGCTGGGAGGCAGCATGCAGGCCCCGCGTCCCCACGTGGCGCGCCTGCTCCTTCCCGTGTCGCTCTGTGGGCCTCCCACGGGAAACCCAGCCGAGCCAGTGCCTCCCCTCGTCCCCCCCAGCAAAAGCCGCGGCAGGGTTGCTTCGCGGAGGCAGCTTGACGCGGGCTGCCCGGGGCCTCCCTCGAGCACGCGCCGAGTGCCCCTCTTGCCCCGGGCTCAGAGGGGTCGGGGAAGGGGCTTCCCCGCTGGGCCCAGGCAGCCCCCTTGACGGGCTCCTCCGTCTGCCCCTCCCTAGCAAATCATGAAGGACAAATGGATCAATATTGGGTACGAGGGGGACGAGCTGAAGCCGTACAAGGAGCCGGAAGAGGACTTTGCGGACGCGAAGCGCATTGGTGAGTGCGGGGGGGGGGCGGCTGCACGCCCCTTCGCGCCCCTTCCAAGGCGGGCCGGTCCCCACTGCGCAACCTGGAGATGTCAGGGCCCTCCGGCCCCCCGGCCCTCCTCAGAGGTGGGCCGCCTTCCCGAGCAGCCAGTAGGGAGTCGGAGACGTCCCCCCAGCTGGTGCTTTCAGGGACCCTGAGCGCAGAGCAGGGGTGCCCCCCCCGGCAGTTTTCTGGCTCCTCTCCCGGCCGGAGAGGAGCAGAGGCCCGGCCAGCGTCAGCCGGGGTGCCCTCGGCATCCCCGCGTGGCCTTCGGGGTCCGGGTGTGCTTGTCGGCTCAGGAAGGGGGTGCGTGGGGGTGGGCCTTTGGGGAGCCCCGGATCTGCCCCGCCCTGACCTGCTCCTGCTGTGCCTTCACCCCCCCCCCAGAAGTGATGGTGGGCATGGGCTACACCCGGGAAGAGATCAAGGATGCCCTGGCCTGCCAGAAGTACAACGAGGTCACAGCCACGTACCTCCTGCTGGGCAGGAAAAATGAGGTGAGGGCCGCAGGGCACGGGCGGGCGCGGGGTGGCGGGGCCCCAAGCCGTGGGGCGGGGCCGGGCCCTCGGGGGGATCCGAGGGCCATGGCCGGGCGGCAGCTGGCCTCTCCCCGGAGTGAGGGAGCTCGGGCGGCCCCCGGAGGGCTGCCCGCGTCCCAGCGCAGGCCCACAGGCTGCCTCGCTGGCTCCCGTGTGGCCCGCCGGGTCGGAGGGCGGCCGGACCTCGCGGCCCCTTCCCGGCACAGCAGCCTTGCTTCTCTCAGCAGGCGGAAGGGGGCGAGTCCCGCACGGGCAGCAGCCTCTCCCTGGCCCGGGCGCGGGCGCCCAGCGAGGCCTCCAGCGGCAGCAGCAAGTCCTCCACGCACAGCAAGGGTCCCCGCAGCGCCTCCACCTACCACCGGCAGCGGCGGCACAGCGACTTCTGTGAGTGCCCCTGGCCCTCGCGGGGAGGCTCCCCACGGCATCCGTGGCTCTCGCCGCCGGCCGGTGGCCCGGGGTCCCCGCCGGCCGGCCAGCGGCCAACCACCCCCCGCCGCGCCACGCCAGGCTCACGCTCCGTGCCTTCCCCCTCTCCGCATCCAGGCGGCCCGTCCGCGGTGCCCGTGCACCCCAAGCGCAGCCCCACCAGCACCGGGGACGGCGAGCTGAAGGAGGAGCGGATGCCGTCCCGCAAGGCCAGCTGCAGCGTGGTCAGCAGCGGCCGCGGCATCCCGCCCTCCAGCCCCATGGTGAGCAGCGCCAACAACCCCAACAAATCCGAGATTCCCGACCGGCGCAAGGACAGCGCGGTGAACACGGTGAGCGGGGCCGGCCCTCCTCCCGGAGGTCAGCCCGGGCGGCCCGGGCGGCCCCTTCTGACTCGCACTGTTTCTGTGTTTCCTCCCGGGGCGGGCAGAGGGGCCCGGGGGCTGCGCACCGTGGCGGTTTGGTGGCCCCCCTCGACTGGGGGGCCGAGCCGCCTCCTGACCAGTGGGAGGCCAGCCGCGGGGAGCAGAGCCCGTGCAAAGGCGTGCCTGTGCTGATGGGCCTCGGGGGCCCCGGGATCAGGGCATTTCCCCCGGCTGGGCTAGCGCCTGCTCCTTCGGCCGGGGGGGGGGTCACAGCAGCTGTGGGGGGAGTGGCTGGAGGGAGGGGGCACTTGGCTGTTGGCCTGTTCCGGGAGCAGGTTCCGCAGGGCTGGGCTGACGCGCCGGCCGGCCTGGGGGTCCGTTGGGCTGATTGGATCCTTGGTGGAGACTCTAGTTCTGCTGCTAAAAAGAGCCGGCCGGCAGTGTGCGGCAGCGGTTGCGTGTGCCATGCACCACGGCCGGGCATCGGGCCGTGTTCCGCTGCACTCCAGCGCTGTGGGGCTGCGCCCCCCACGATCCTTGGCCGTGCTAGCCAGCGCTGAGGGGAATCCGCCTCGTTCTTCCTCCCGCCACAGAATAACATCCCTTCGAGCATGATGACCCGGAGGAACACGTACGTGTGCACAGACCGGCCCGGCGGGGACCGCCACTCGCTGCTCCAGAACGGGAAGGAGAACAGGTGGGCGTGGGGTGGGGTGGGGTGGGGGTCTGGCCTTGCCCCGCCCGCCTCTCCCGGACCGCCCAGCTGTGCCTCCGCAGCCCGCGGGAGAGGAGACCCTCGCCTTGGGCCAGGGTCCATTCCTGCTTCACGAGAGGCCTGAGGGAAGCGCTTCCCGGAGCAGCCTCGGGGGTCGGCCCCAGGTCAGGGCTTCTTGCTTGGGGTGGGGGGGGGGTCTCTCCATCGCCGTGGAGACCCTCTTGGATGACTCTCCAGATGCAGCGGTGGGGCTGAAGGGGGAGGAAGTGGAAGCCAAATATTTCTCTGTTCCCGTCTGCCTGGGAATTGTGCGCTTCCCTGGCCCACCGGGAGCCGTTTTCCCAGAGGCTGGAGAAGGAGAGGCGTGCTCTGTGCATTCCTGGCCTTCCCCGGAGGAGGCCGAGTGGGCAGGCGGCTGGCTTCCTTCCTTGCTTCCTTGCTTCCTTGCTTCCTTCTCCCCCTCACAGCCTGCTCTTTCCAACGTCCCCCCGCAGCTCCGTCACCAGCCGGGCGCCCCCAGCCTCCCCCTCCAGCCACAGCATCGCCACCTCGTCCGGCTCCTCAGACCGCGCCCGGCTCTCCCGGGGCACCAACATCCGCAGCACCTTCCACGGGGGCCAGGTGCGGGACCGGCGAGGGACCGGCGTGCAGAACGGGCCGCCCACCTCGCCCACGCTCTCCCACGAAGCCACCCCCCTGCCGCAGAGCCGCAGCCGGGCCACCTCCAACCTCTTCAGCAAGCTCACGTCGAAACTCACGCGGAGGTGAGGGCGCTGCGGGGGGTGCGCGGCAGGGAAGACGCAGGAGAGCCTGCGGGGCGGGCAGGGGGCTGCTCCTCTCCTCTCCTCTCCTCTCCTCTCCTCTCCTCTCCTGTCCTCCCCGCAGCCCGCAAATGAAGGAAAGGGTCTGCGTCTTGTCCGTTCCCAGTTCCCGGAACGGGGGCTGCTTCTCTGCTCTCCTCTGCTGGGCCTGCAGCACGGCTGCGCGACTTGCTTTGCTGCCGCTGTGCCCGGCCGGCCCCCCTGGCGCTCTGGGGGGCAGCTCCCGGCACGCCCCACTGGCATGGAGGGCGCCGGGCCCGCTGCTTCACTTGCTGCGTTGGAATATGGTCGTGCAGGAAGAGTCCGGAAGGGCTTGCCCCCGGTCGCCTCTGAGGATTCTGGGCGATGCGGGGTGACCGTCCCGAGTCGGTGCCCCGGCCTCTGCCCAGCCCGCCAGACCCACCGCAGCTCTGCCTTGTTCGGAGAGTGGGAGGCGAGCCCCCAGCGCCCCTTCCTCAGAGAAGGCGACCGGCGTGCCCAAACACTCCACGTCTTCCCCCGTTGCAGCGGCCGCGTCGAACACGCCGCTGTCCCAGGGCAGCCGCGCGGCCTTCCCCCCCTGGCCCCGTGGCAGAGCCGGGGGACGGACCAAGAGCCGGCTCCCGTGAAGGGGTGCCGTGGCAGTGCCCAGGCGCTGGGGCAGGGGGCGGCCTTCAGCAGGTGGTGGCGGGGGCGCGGGAGCTGGAGGGCAGGGGGCGGGCGAGGCTGTGGGGTGCTCCGAAGGCGAGGACGGAGCGTGCCTGGGCCTGGAGCCAGCCGGAACCGGCCAGGGCCCCGAGGAAGGCGCTGGAGGCCAGAGCCGCAAGCGCGTGCCGGGTTTCAGCTGCGGGGTGGCAGGCGGAGGGGAGGAGGCCGGAGCAGGACCAGGCTGAAGGTGGCGGTGCGGGGCGCGAGGGGCGCGTGGGGCAGGGCCAGAGTTTTGGCCATGGGGCAGGAGGGGAGGGCCGCCTTCCCCCAGCTGGCATCCCGCATGGCCGGCCGTGGGATGCTGGGAGGGCCCTTGTGGCGAGGTGGCGTGGCTGAGCACTGAGTGCATGGAAGCAGAGCGAGGCAGAAGGGGCCTCCCGGGCCGTCTAGTCTGACCCCCGGCTCTAGCCGGCTCCGCTCGCGACGTGCGGGGACGGAGGGAGAGCCGGAGCGTGCCACAGGCCGGCTGGGACCTTGCTGGCCGACAGGAGCACACAAAGGGAAGGGGGAAGGCGAGGCGGGCGCCCCGGACGCCTCCCGCTTGAGATGGCGACGTGGCATCCGAGTGGACGTGGCAGCAAGGCTGGTGGTGATGCGGGGAGGGGGGGAGGTTCCAAGGGGGGGGTCTCGGAGGAGGCACCACAGCCAGAGAATGCGGCGCGCGGCTGTCCGGACCTGCCCCTTCCCATGGCCTTGAGCCTTCGGGAACGCCTGTCACTGGGAATCCTTTCAGCAAAAGTCGGCCTGATGGGAGGAGCTTTGCTGAACCCCTGGGAGGAAGCCGGCCCAGTGACACCACGGGGCTGTTGCTGCCGGTCCGGGCAGACGGTGCCGGCCCAGGTGCGCCCGCGGCCCGGCCCTGCCGGAGTGCCTTTCAGCTTTTACTCGCTTCCTGGATTGACGCCAAAGGTCTTGCGATTGCCCGGTGTCCATTCCTCTTCCCGGGGGAGAGACGATGCGGAAACGCACCCCGGGGCAGCTTGGGAAGGCCGATCCGGGGCAGCTGATCTTTGCGGGTCCTGCCAGAGCGGCAAACAGGGAGCGGCGAAACGGGCCGGGCCCACAAGTGGGGAACCCGCACGGGAGGACTCTGGGGTGCTTTGCTGGCTCCTCACGGTCCGGCGCTTTTGTGTTACGTGCAAAGGAGCCGGGGAGATTCCGGCCGGGAGGGGACGGGGCGGCACAGATGGCAGCTTGGCCGGGGGGCTCCCCCAGCGGCGCGCAGATGCAGGGCGGCTGTTCCAGGGAGAGGCGGGTGCGGAAGCCCCACAGCTGGACCCGGAAGAGGCTGCTGGCCCCGTGCCGCCCCCACATGGGCCCTGCACTTGTGTGGGGCGAGGCCCTGGAAGCGAAGGCGCATGGCCACCCATGGCCCTCGCCAAATTTGGGTGCCGCTGCCACGAACCACCAGTCTGGACTGCTCAGCCACGGGGCAGGTTTGCCCGTCAAGAGGCTTCTCCTGACTAACACCGGCTTCCCTCCTCCTCCTCCTCCTCCGCCTCCTCCTCCTCCGCACCTGCTTCACTCTGGCTTTTCTCTGTTTTCAGGGTCACTCTTGACCCCTCCAAGCGGCAGAATTCTAACAGGTGCGTCTCAGGTGCCGCAATGCCTCAAGGATCTAAGATCAGTAAGTCTAGCTGCTTTCCCTTTTCTCTTTGCTGAGAGGCTGGCCAGCCGGTCCCCCCGCCCGCCCCCCCGCTTTATCCCGCCCCCCCCATTCTCTCTCCCTCTCTCTCTCCCTCTGGGAAAGCTGCTCCTCCTGTTTCGCTTGCCTAGGGACCCCGCGTGGCCCACCCGTGGCGGCACGTGCGTGCCCGCGCTTGGCCTCCCAGCCCGGGCCGTGGCAGGCCGCCAACCCGCCGGCCTTCAGCGGACGCCCTCCCAGCGGCCCCCCACAGGGCAGGGCCCGGCTGAGGGAAGGCACGGGGCGCGCACCCTCAGAAGCGCCTGCTTCCTTCCGTGCTGGGTCTGGCTAAGCCCCGCCTGCCCCCCAGGGGCCCCGAGCCGGGCTGGACCAGCGCCACGCCAGGAGTGGCGCTGGGCCAGCCGCGTGGGCGCTGGTTCCCCGGAGCCCCACACGCGCCCTGCAGTTGGGAGTGGGTCGAGCGGGGCAGCAGCACGCGGGGGGCTCCCGGGGCCGGTGGGCAAGGGTCTGTGCGGCCAGCCCGCCGTGGGCCTTGGCAGCCGCCCTGCCTCTGGGGCCAGGCTCCTGTGGGCCTCTGCGGCGAGCCCGGAAGCGCGAAGCCGACTGCCTCCTGGTCCGGCTGAGGCCAGGCGTGCCGTGGACGCGCCCCCACGCCGGCAGCCGAAGCAGCAGGTGCAGTGCAGCGGAGCAGGGGCGGCACGCCTCCCTCTGCCGCGCTCCCCCTCTCTGAGCCCCGGCTTCTGGGCACCGAGTGGCATCCATCTATGGGACACCCCCTGCACAGCCCACCGCCGGGAGACTCCTTGGGAAGGGCTTGGTGCGGGAACTCGAGACGGGCTCCCCACGGAGCACTGGGGGTGTCCGTCCACCGTGAGACCTGCAGTGAAGCCGGGCGCCCTGCCCCCTCCGGGCCCAGGCGAGAGGCCCTCCCAGCAGCTCCAGGCTGGCCCCCTGCCCCGGCCCGCCTTGCCTTCATCCCTCTCCCGCTCTCTCTCTTGCAGGGTCGCAGACGAACCTGAGAGAATCAGGGGACCTGCGCTCACAAGGTGCGTGTCGGTCTCCTTTGCCAGCTGGCCTGGCCCACCTCGGCCCCGGTGGGACGCGCTCGGCTTCGGGCCCGCATGTCCCCGGTGCGATTCCCCAGAAGTGCCGGAAAGCCGCGGAGCAGAGCGTCGGCTGCCGAATTCCGCAGCGCTTTTAATTCTTCTGGCGAAGGCTTTTGGCCGCTGCATCCTCTGCCGTGTGGCTCGCGAGCGTGTGGCCATCTCGCGTGGCCTTGGGCACGGCAGCGCGGCTCATGGCCTTTCCTGCTCCTTGGGCAGCCGTGCCAGGGGGTGAGGGGGGGGGGGGCAGGGCTGGCTTTGCAGAATTTATTCGGGAGCAGAATTGCTCTTGTGGGCAAACAGCAGGGCGCTCCACACAAGCAGTGCTAGACGCTCGGAAGGGGGTCGCGTGGGGGTCGCTCCCCCCGGAAGGGCGGCCTCCCCGCTTCCCGGCTTTGCTCCGTGCTCTCTAAGAGCCTCTTCAGCGCGGGGCACACAGGGGTGGCGGATTCGGCTGGGGGGCTTGCGCTGACCGGCCAGGCACGCAGATGCTTCTCTCCCCGCTTGCCCGCAGTTGCAATTTACCTTGGAATCAAAAGGAAGCAGAACCCCGGTTGCTCCGATTTACCTGGAATGTGAAGCTCACCAGCGCCCGCTCCGCCGAAGCCATCCTGGCCGCCCTCCGCCAGGCCACGGACTCTGCCGACTGCTGCTGCCGCCAGACAGAGCCCTTTGTCCTGACCTGCACGCACGAGCAGAGCGCCAGCGAGCTCTCCTGCTGCTTCGAGGTGGAGGTGTGCCGGCTGCAGCGGCTCGGCGGGCTCCACGGTGTGCTCTTCCGGCGCCAGGCCGGCACCTCCCTGGCCTTCCGCAGCCTGGTGGCCAAGATCTCCGACCAGCTGCAGCTCTAGGGGTGGGCGCGGCCCCGGCCCTCTGCAGGGACTGACCCCAGATGGGCGGACAGGACGGGGCCAGGACCTGCCCCCGGTGCCTGGAGGCCCGGAGTTCTCCGGGGCTTCATCCTGCTGCCCAGTGGGGCGAGAAGCTGCTCTGGGGGGCCCCCCCGCTGCGCTGTGCACGGGGCTCGTGGGAGGGGGTTGAGTCTTGGGGAGGGGGTGCCCCGGCCAGCCACCCACCCCGGCAAAGCTCCAGCTTGCGGCAGGACATGGGGGTGGGGCAGAAGGCCGCCAGCCCAAGCCATGCAGGGAGGAGGCCGGGGACGGTGGCAGGAGCGTGTCAGAGGGGGAGGGGGGCAGTGACCCAGCGTGGTTCTCCAGACCCCCCCCCCCCGATCGCTGGCCTACTTGTCCTCCATTCCACACAGACCGGGAGCCGAAGGGGCAGTCCCAGTGCTTGGGGGCCCGGGCTGCGTCTCTCCCCTCGACGAGGGCTGCTGGGCGGGGAGGAGTCGGCCCGGGGGCCCCATCAAGCCCCCCTTAAATCCTGCGGTGCATCCGGCTCTGCTTTCGACCGGGATCGGCCTGCATCCCACCTGCGCTTGGAGGCCCCGGCCTTGTGGGCAGGGTGCAGGCGGGCCCCGTGGCTTTCGCTCCGACTGATTTTGGCTCCGCGTGCCGAGTGGAGTGCTCAAAATCAGCAGAGAGTGAAGAGCAGCACCAAGGGGGGAGCCCGACCCCCCCCCCACAGCCACGCTCAGAGTAGCCGCCGGCAAGTGGGCTAGTCCCGCTCAGAGCCAGCTGGCCCGGACGTGGCCCTTCCCTGGGCAGAGCGGGCACTGGTGGCGCCAGGCCCTCCCCGGCCAAGGCCAGGTGCCTCCCCACGGCCGGGGGCCCGCGTTTCTGCCGCGAGAGCAGGGCCACCGCGGCTCCCACCCGCCCTGGGGGCAGGGCTGCCCCGCATTCACCGCCCCCACAGAGCAGCAGGGCCCGGGGCGGTGGGCCGGCCCCTCGCTGCCTCCAGGCACCCGCGGCGTGGGGCCGAGAGGGTCCCGGTGCTGAGGCCGCGCTCCGGGGGAGGCTGGCCCTCCCAGGGGCCGGGTCAAGGGCTCAGGGACGCGGCCCGGTTGCCGCCCGGCTGGCGACGGGGGACGCGTGCTGCGCCTCGCGCGTTGGGGCCGTCCCTGCCTCGTGCGGCCCCCACCCCCCGGGCTGGCAAGGGGGAGTGAGTGGCTCGGGGGGTCTTGCGGCTGGCCACCAGGGCTGAGGACGGGGGTCTGGTCTCAGAGGGTGGAACGGCAGCTGGGTGAGCTGGGGCTCGGGCGGCCCTGCTCCGGCCTGGGGCCCAGGTGGAGCGCCCGGGGATCTGCCGCAGCCGGCTGGTAGCAGCCATGCAACACGGGCAGCTCTTACGGGGAAAATCGAGCGGTTTCCTCCCTTGTCCCCTTCCCCACCACTCCCACCCTCGCCCCGCGCTATACACTGGTTCCCCCGGCTGTTCTCCGCACCCCTCCCCACCCTGCAGAACTCGCCTCTTTCCCCCCACATCTGTACAGACTCCCCTGTAAATAATAGTCCGGGTAGCCCCTGTATCCTTGGGTAGAGATATTAACGAGCCAGCCCTGTCGCCTCGGGACGAATGCAAGTTATTCCAGCCCCGGTGCTGCGGTCTGTACCAAACCCGTAATAAACGTAGAAAGCCTCTGGCGCCTCAGTGGATGCTTCTGTGCCCACTCTGCACGTGGGCAGAGCGACTGTGGGCGCCAAGCAAGGCACGGCTCGGAAAGGCCTCGGAGTTCCCAGTGGAGAGGCTACCGGCTCTTCACCCTTTGTGAGCCGGCGGGAGGTGTGTGGGCGAGGCATTCTGCACACGCACAGAGGCTGTGCTGTCGGGAACAGCTGCTCTGCGCAAAGGAGGTGTGGGGTGCAGACTGCTGCCCGCCTCTGCGCTCCCTGGCCAGACCCACGGCCTGTGGCTCCCCGGGCAGCCCGCCTGCCCGTCGGGGGCCTGCCTTCTTTCTCGGCGGCCTCAGCCCTGCAGGTTCCCCCGCCTGTGCCACGGGATCCCTCCTTTCTCTCGCCTGCACGGGAAGGGATTCCCGTCTGCCCGGAACGGCCTGCCAGCCCGGGAAGAGCGGGAGCGCGTGAACGGAGGAAAGCAATTTTGGGGGCAAACCGGCATGTTTGGGGCTGGGGGCACAGAGACAAAAGGAGTAAATGCTTAAAAGCCAAGGGGGGTCCCAGAGGGCTCAGCACACCTCAGCGCTTCCTAGCCGATCTGTTCTCGCCCTCCCTCCTCCTGCCCCACATCTTCCAGATTTTGGGGGCAAGTTCAGAATCCGTGAGGCCAAGCTGCTGCGATGCAGTGGTGGAAGGTCCCCGTGGATGGGGGGCTGGCCGGACAGAAGGCCACAAGCGAAGGGGCAGGCCTTTGCCCCCCAGCAGGCAGCCTGGTCCCCACTCCCTCAAGGTGCAGCGAGTGCCCCTTCTGCCTCCCCCACCCCGACCGGCAGAAGCCCGGAGACCCCAAGAAACAGGAGAGACGCCCTTGAGGAGCTAGGCTCTGGGCCCTTCGTCAGCTTTATTAACTGCTTCCACGGAGGCTCCGGTGACGGGAGCTTCCCAGCCAGCTGAGGGGGCAGCTGCCCGCTGGGCCCCCGCCTCTCCTGAGCCGGAGAGAGGAGGACAGCGGGAGGCTGCTGCTCGAAGGGGCAGGGTTGGGGTCACCCTCCAGGAGTCCGAGCCCCGATCCAGGCTGGGGAGCCCCTCACTTCTGGGCCGGGACCATGTCGTCGATGGCCTGGCCCTTCTCCAGCCTCTTCTCCATCTCCACCATGAGTTTCACGCCGTCAACCACCAGCTGCACCTGCTGCACCTCGGAGGAGCCCAGGCGGTCGGCATTGGAGATGTCGAACACGGCGCCCACGGCCTCGGTGTCCACGCCGCCTGTGCGGGGGGGGGGACCTCGGTCAGCTGCCCCTCCGGCAATGCGTGGGGGGCTCTGCACCTGCTCGCCACCCAGGGGACAGGCCGGCTGTGCTACGGCACAAGCCTGGGGAAGTGGAAGCGGTGCCTGTGCCCACGCGCTCGACGGCTCTGCTGGCGCACGATGCGCGTCTGTTGATGCGATTTTGGCCCCCCCATCAGCCAGGGGGTTCCCTGGGCGGCGGCAGAGGCCCGTCTGCCCGGACGGCTGGTTTCTCACAAGGGCAGGGACTGGAAAGGACACCCCCAGAATAGCTCGTGGGGCTTGTGTCAAGGCCGGAAGTGGGAGCTGCTTTCCTACCGTGCCGCTGCCTGAGGTAATGGGTCTAGCGGCTCTCTTTGTGAAGACAGGAGCCCCCCCAGCCCCCCCGGGGGTCTATGCGTGGGGTGGGGGGCCTGGACGCTTCTGCTCAGGCTGTGCCAACCGCCTCCTTCCTGCTCGCTCATTTGGACATCCAGATCGCCTGGGAGGAGCAGGGAAAGAGCGGCTGCCCCCCCACCCCCTGCTCACCTGTGCCGCGCTTCTGCAGGCGGAGGCGTGTGAGGATCTCCTCGAACTTGGCGTGCTTGCTGAGGTGGGGCAGCTTGACATGGACCCCCCCGCGCAGACCGGTGCCCAGGTTGGACGGGCAGGTCAGGATGTAGCCCAAGTGCTCGTTCCAGCTGAAGGGGTGGCCGGCCTGCTTGAAGATCTCCTCGATCTTCCAGGGAGAGGGGCGAGATGAGAGCGGGAAGCCCCACCTGGCCGTGGGGCTCAGTTGGGGCGCTGCCCCAAGGGCAGGTGTGTGGGCCACTCCGGCCTGGGGCCCCCGCGGCCCACACAGGACCCTCCTGGCCTGGCCCGGCCCGGCCCGGTCCCTGAGCCACCGGCTGCCCTGCGCTCTGCGAGAGGCCATATGCCAGCCTGCTGGGGGGGCCCTCCATGCTGCCGCCCCGGCTTGCCCCGGGGGCCGGGCCCCCACAGGCCACTGCCCTGGGCGCCTGCTCCCCTCCGCGCGGCTCTCCGGGGCTGGCTGCCCACCTTCTGCAGCCCCACGCAGAAGCGGCGGAAGACCTCCTTCATGTTGCCGCCCTTCTGCATGGAGATGACGCGCAGGTGGTCCTCCTCGTTGACCCACACCAGGAAGGTCTTGTTGTCGTTGTGCCTGCGGGAGCGAGCGAGCGCGGCGTGTGGGACCTCGGCCCTCCGTGCCTGGCTGGCCCCTCCAGCCGCCCCCTGCTGCACGCGCCGCACGGAGGGCGCTGGTGCGCCGGGAGGGGGGGGCCTGCTGCCCACCTCTGCCTGCCCGCTTCGTTCCCGCCCCCACCCGCCTTCCTTCCGGCAGGTGCGCAGCAGGAGCGCAGCCCAAGGCGGACGATCCGGAGCGAGCGCCCCCCCCACGAGCAGCGCGGTGCTGCTCCGTGCCCCCAGCGGCGACAGAGCCCCCGAGCCGCAGGCCAGCCGAAGCAGACGCAGCGCTGAAGGGGCGCCCGCCGTCCCGGCCGGGGGCCCTGAAGGGGGGCGGGGGGGCACACGACGCCCGGCCTTTCCGGGGAGCAGCCCTCGCCCGAGGGCCCGGGGAGCCGCCCAGGGCGGAACGGGGCGCCTGGGCTGTGCCCGGCCCCGCGCCCCCCCC